GGGAGAGGGAGAAGCAGGCTTCCCGCTGAGCAGGGAGCCCGATGCAGGGCTCGATGAGGGACTCGATGCGGGACTAGATCCCAGGACCCTGGGATCATGACCCAAGCCGAAGGCAGACGCTTAACGACTGAGCCATCCAGGCGCCCCAAGACATACATGCATATTAAAACCAAGTGATCGGATGGGCATCAGATGGGCATCAGATGGGCAAAATCCATGCTCTGTCCGTATGGCTGGAGAAACAGACAAGCCCATACGAAGCTGGTAGGAACATAGGTTGGTTGATCCTCTTGTAAGGTAATTTGGCAACACTTAGAGAAATTACAAATGGGCTCCCACTCAGGAATCCCACTTGAGGACTGTGTCCCACGGATTTCCTTGCGCATGTGCAAAATGATGTACTCCGAGACATTGTGCATAACCGCACACACCCACGCGTTTATCAGAACATGTTATCTGAATTCTGGTGAATTCTTAGGGCTGAACTCTATTTACATATGAAAAAGAATGAGGCAGGTTCTCATGACCTGTAGCATGGAAAGCTCTTCCAAGTTTCTAACGAGGGCACAAAAACCAAGGTGTAAAACAGGATAGATATCACAGTTATCTTTTGGGTAAAAACAGGGGAAATGAGAATACATATTCATATTTGATTATATATCCATAAAGAAGTTTTGGAGGGATACATGAGAAACTACGACCGTGGATACCCATGGAGGGAAGGTTAAGAACCAGGCTTATGAATGGAGGGGGGAGGATGGAAGAAAGCCTTTTCTCGACTGACCTTTCTATGTGTTCTGGGTTTTAACCCCTGTGAATGTACTCCCACCTAAAAAGGTAATTCAAACAACACCACAGATTCTAGTAATATCTCAAGGTTCTCTCAACTTCTCTCTGGGTGAACCAAGTCTTGGGTTAAAAGTTCCAGGACTGCCCTTTCCTCCTCGCCGGAGGCCAAGAGGGCTCATAGGGCTTCACCAAATACAGGTCCTGAGTGGCTGTGACCATTTTCTACCTGTCTGTCCTGGGGGCAGTGCTGGGTCCCCGTGGAAAGCCTGCATATCCAGACTCCACTCTTCCTGATGAGTCCATGTGAACAGATTGTCTCAATCTAATAATCCCCCAAGAAAAGTCAGCTGGTGCTTCCAGTGCTGGAAGGAGAACCTTCCAGAAGTGAAGGACACGGCTGGGCACACCACCAGGGACAGGGTCAGACAGACTCCAAAGGACAGGTCGGAAGCTGCACTTGGCTCTGCTGAAGAGGGCATCGGATCCTGCCCCCACCAGGTGGCTTGCGCAACGTTTATGCGCCTCATTGCTCAGTTGCCAAATAAACCTGAAAGATTCTGGAGCATTCGGCTGGCGACTGCCTGCAGTGGACACCGATCTAGGTCAGCGAGCTGTTATACAGGCAGGAGACAGACAGGACTATTTAGACAGCTGTAAATCCTCTCTGAGTAAAAATCTTATTACCGTAGATGAAAAAGCACTTTGGGAGAAAAAGACCCAACAGCGTCCTAAAATAATATGCTGAGGTTAGGCGGCTTAAGTGAGCTTTCAAAAGGACTTTTAGCTGCAGCATCAAAAGCACCGATGAAATCAACACCCATTCTGCTTGGATCTGCTCTCTTGGAAGAGATTTCTGTATCTGGCTTCAAAAGTCAAGCCTGGAGCCTTGGAAAGAAACTTATGAATAATGATGGGGTGAAAGATTTCCTTAGTATGGGATCAGCTCGCATATTTCCCACGGAGTCTGGATTAGCTTTACAATCACGGTGGATTTGATAATGGCTTGTGGCCATGTTTGCATTCAGACCGGAAATCCAACCAAGGCCACTAGACAACTTCGTGTCACTGGCCACTGGGTTTGGAGTTGAGGTCTGGCAGGGTGGGGAGTTTTGGCCACAAGAGGGGATGCTTCTCTCCACCAGGGTCACATGGCATCGGAGCCGCAGTGCATGTGGGCTGGGGCAAGGCAAGGAGGGGCACGGCGGCCAGAAATGCACCTTTTCCACGTGGTCCTCCCCCTTCCCCAGCCAGGACATCCCCATGGGATGGTTAAGCAAGACCTGATCGACATGGCCTGAAGTCATGCACATTTTTGGCCACCTGGATCGGGGAGCCTGTCATTGAATGCTCCCCCCTCCCCCGCCTTTAAAAAATAAAGACTTATTAGGTGCCTTGAAATATTCACAATATTCATCCATCACTCCCATTTTCCAGAGGAGGAAAGTGAGGTTTGGCAGGAGCTTGGGACTTTCACAAAGTCACAGAGCCAAACTTGCGTGGCTTCCCGTGTAAACATGTGGTGCCAATGCAGCGGGGAAGCAGCGAGCTCCCGGGATGGACACAAGTAGGTGAGTCTGGACATGTGATTTGCAACTTCGTGGCTGGGGCAGGACTTCGGCTCCAAGCAAAGTGGGTTGCTGTCGAGCTCCATTTCAATAATGCGTGGGATGGTCAGGCTGCCCTCTTTTAAATATTTATCCATCCGCTGCACTGCATAATTAGTAAGAAAGTGATACAGGATGTGCCCTTTTAAAGAGGTTATTAAACCCCGCGGTTATAATCATTTTCATCCCGTCATTAGTTTCGAAAACCAGGCCTCTGGAGACGTGTTCCTCCTGCCCAGAGATGCAGCCCTGTTCCCTGAGCCCTCTCCACTCCCTCTCCACTGGGATTCTTTGGTTTCTGACGGTCACCTTGTCCTATAGCGCACGTGAGCTCCAGGGAGGGCCTGAAGGCTGAGACTGTGGGCTCGAGGTACTTAGCCTCCGCCTTTACTTCGCTGCCTTTCGGCCAAGGTTACAACCCCTCTTCTGCAAGGAGACTGGCCAGGTAAGACAGCCTCTGCCTGAGTCTCTCTTCTGGGGATCCTAGTGGCTCAGAGACTGGACGGTCCTCTTGGCTGGAGGGTGCAGGCATAGGGCCTTAGGAACTGGGAATGCCTCCCTCCTGCCGAGGCCCCGAGCTTGGCATTATCAGCCGCAAAGAGCAAAGCCTCTGTGTCCACTCCCGCTTTATAACCCCATCGAGACCCAGTGGGACCCGTACCGTTGATGGTGTCTAAACCAAAGCAAGGGGCAAGGCGAGGCAGCCTCCCCTCTGCTTTGAGAGGGACCCCGAAATCGATCGAAAAGCAGCAGAGCTGCAAGGGGCCAGGGCCAGAGGGGCTGCCTGGTTCAGCCCCCTGCGGGTTCTGACACATCAGTAGGTTACCTGCGGCCCCTGTTCCGTTCTGACGTCGAAGGGGTCTCCGACGGGACGCTTCTTGGCGTACTCCACGCTCCGCCTGACAAACTCGGCGTAGATCTGCTCCTCCACGAATACCCTGGAGGCAGCCGTGCAGCACTGACCTTGGTTGAAGAACACCCCCTGATGGGCGCACTCCACTGCCAAGTCCACTGGAGGGAGGGGGCGGCGGGGGCAAGAGGAAGCATGAAGTCGTTAGGGCAGGACTGGTGACGGCCCAAATTCTAACTGCCCGCACCAGCAAACAGGCCCTGGAATGGCCGCGTTTCAGAAGTTCGTTTTATTCCCGGCATTTCCCAACAGAGAGGGTGGGAAAAAGCAGTGTAGGGTGAAATCAGTGCCCCCCCAGTGCAGGACTTCTTTACTCTGCTGAGGAGCACAGAGAGTTGCATTCCCGGTTCATCTGCTCCTGGAGCCCTCCCCTCTCCCTTTCTGGAGGACCAACGTTCTATAGAATAAACCTTCTGTAAGCATTGATGAGGCCAACTGGTGAGAGCTGTTCCACCTTGAGTTTCCTTCACTATCAAGCCCTATTAAGTCAGCTTCTTTTGCTTATTAAGTCTTATTAAGTAACATTAACTCCACGTAGGATGTGGTTAAAAAGGAAGCACCGATTCTGCCCGAGGAGGTCTGGATCTGAACTAGACAGTGGGCATCGAGTTAAAACTAGAAGGGTGCTTAGTAAGGAAAACCTTGGGGGCTGTGCTTCGCAGCGAAGAATGCTCAGTGGGCTATCGCCGACAGCTCACAGTGTGGTTTCTAGTGCTCCGCGGTGAGCTGCTTTTCCTGCACCCCCACCGCCCTCCTACACGCACACGGCAGCTTAAGAAATGCAGCTTTCCTTTGCACGGGGCAAAAAGCAGCCCTAGGGGGGCATGGGCAGGCGATCCAGACACCCAGCATTGCTTTTGAGCACCTCGGAGGAATGCTGCCCTCCGCTTGGAGGACGGAGACATTGCTTTCGAGCTGGGTCTCCCATAGAAAGTCCCTGTAGTAGCCGATCGCGTCATAAGGCTCTTGCCCGCCCTGCACCTGCCCCCCTTCTCTGTGCCAACTTAACACTGCCCCTTCTCCAAAAGAACTAACTTGTTTCCTGTGCCCTGATGGGGGCCAGCGGTGGTGGCTGCAGTGGTGGGTCGGGGGCTGGGGGCACGTTATCACTGACATCACGCATGGATGCCAGTTTTGTCAGAACTGGATTCTGTGGACTGGCACTGCCCGCAGGAGAAGCAGGACACGGCTCCGCAGGGCGTTTGTGAGCCTTATAAAAACCAGCCCCCAAACAGGAGGGAGTTTTGGGGTTTAGCTGCAGTTTTTTTCACTGGTGGGGGGAGAGGATGAGCTGAGGTGGAGACCGGGCACCCAGACATGGTGGCACAAGAATGGGAAACGGGTGCTGGCTCTTTAGGACTGGAGTTCAGGACCCCAAATGTGGCAACGCCCAGAACTGCTCTATGTGGTTCCAGAAACCAGTGGCGACACCATCGAAGCTTCTACAAGGGAGCACCAGCCCAGGCGACAAAGGAGCAGTCTGTCTTCTGCCCAGCTTCCTTCTCCTTCCCTGAAGCTGGCTTCCTCACCCAGGCCACTCACTCTCCCGTGGAAAGCCAGCTTCAGAGACAGGAAGTGATATCAGTCCTTTACACCTTAGCAAGAAATTGTGTAGGGTTGTTTTTCTCAGGGATATTTGCAGCGCCCGCCTTATCTGAGTGTGGAATGGAAAGCTTTGTTCTCCACGAAAGGGATTTCTGGCACCAGGGGACAGGTGGGGAGGCTGTTCTAGAAGGTGCTTCAGGGTACCTGGGAAGTCACGCCTTTTGGCGGCTGACCCTGTCCGCAGGTGAATGAATGCCCGATGTGGCCCCTTCTTCCTTCTTCTGGACATGGCAGCCACGAATAGCATACAGTTTCATGAAGCTCTAACAAGACACAAACTGCCCCCAAGCCACTGGGTGGGGGTTGCTTGCCCAGGGAAGAGGTGGTGGAGAGAGAGACAGGACCCAGACTAGGGGGGTATGTTTAAGGGTCCGCTGCCACCGTCCTCTCATTTGTCAGGAAGGAAGGAACATCTCGAGTTTCAGAGAGGCAAAAAGCACTCTAGGAAATACTGACTGGGAGGGGGGAATGATTAATGCTTGTGAGTGGGGAGCACTCGCCCTGCTCCTCCCTCTCCTGGCCGTCTCCCTGCATGGGGGACTCTGGGGAAGGTCTGGATCTGCCCCTCATGGCCCCAGCTCTGCACGGACAGGGAACGCAGACTTAATCTTGAAGGGCAGAGACAGGCAGCCTCTCGGCCCCCACACAGGACGCGTTTATCTCCAAGGCAGCTTTCTATGAGCAGTAAGGCTGGTGTCTTGCTCTCCATCTGCCTACTTACGGCTGGACAACCCAAGGTGGGAAAATCATCGTCATTTTGTGTGTGTGTGTATGTGTGTGTGTGTGTGTGTGTGTGTCAGTTGGTTCTGAGCTTGCTCAAGGCAGCAGGGAGAGATTTATGGACTGTCTGAGCCCCAGCAACGCCCAGAAGGGGAGAGACTCACGGTCAGCATCAGCACACACGATACAGGGGTTCTTCCCCCCAAGCTCCAGTGTCACCCTCTTCAGATTGCTCCGAGAGGCGGCTTCTTTAACCAGCTTTCCAACCTTCAGGATAAAAAACAGACCAGATGAAACCTCAGGTGGGGCCAGACCTGGCCGGGACGTTCTGGACAAGCCTAGGGCTCCCCTGCCTCTCTGCCTAGGTGCCTTAGGCCTCTAAGGCTGCCTCCCCACCCCCCGGCCTCTCCTGCGTCTCCTCATGGATCGGACCTGGACATCACTGGAATCCTTGGTCCACGCTGCTCCACTTACAGGGGCAGAGTGGGAGCCCTGGAAGGCTCAGCAATGTGCCCATAGCCACACAGCTGGCTAGTGGCAGAGACTGCTCCTCCCTGGTCCCGGTGCCTGCCCCTCCTGGAGGCAGGCTGGCCCAGCTAGTCTGGTAAAGGGCTCAAGGGGATCCAGGGGCGGCTTGGGGGACATGGTTTCGCATGGCTCTTTGGTATGGCTGAGGGAACCTCCAAAAGTTATGGTAATAGGGGAGCTGACTTTCAGGAGGAGAAGGAGCCAATTCTCCCGTAACAGACTCAAGACTGAGGCATCCCCAGGGCGAAGGGAGAGGACCGCTACACAGTGCGGGAACAGGACCCCTCACCAACCTCCTTCGCGTACCTGGAGGGTCTCTCCTATCATTCCATGCACTGCCAGAGGCGAGGCCTGGCCCATCACACAGTGGGCCCCACAGACTCAGAGCTGGGGAGAGACTCTCAAGAGACCAACGTGCACATGGACGCTTAGAGCAGACATCTAGCCAGAGGCAGGGCCGGGCTCTTCTCGGGCTGAGGCTGTTTCCCCAAAACTAAGGTGCGAGCGCATTTTAACAATTGGCCAGCTCCCGGGTGATGGACTGAATGACCTTTGGAATAGTTCCACCGTGACAGGGATTGTCCCCAGAGAGCAACAGAAGCAACACCAGTCTGCCACGAGCTGGCGATTCCTTGTGGGGCCGAGGTGTGCTCTCAGGGCTGGACGCAGCCGGGGGACCTAGGGTGGGAAAGCACCCCATCCCCTTCTGGAGATGCCTGCCGGCTGAGCAATCCCTGGGACCACAGAGGCCACTTTCTTGTCCCTGAGGTTGGCTGCCCAGTGAGAGCACCACCCCCCTGGACCCATGGGCAGCCCTGTGGACACCCAGAGAAGGGGATTCAGGAGTCTGCAGAGATGGGATGAGTCGGCTGTTGGGGGAGAAGGCAGCTCGGGCTCCTGGAGGGACTAAATTTGTGGGGAGATGGGGACACTTGCTGCTTGGGAAGCATTTATTCATTTCTTTCTCAAGCACAGAAGAAGATTAGAAATAATTCCACACAGAGCTGTGTGTCAGGGCAGAGGGGGAAAGTGTTCATCTCCCTTCCCCCTGTGCCCCAGGACCTGCACAGAGGTGGCCACGGGAAGAATTTCTTGGGCATCCTTACAGACCATTTCTATTTCTCTCCACACACACTTTTCCTCGTGGGATCATTCTGTAGCTACTTTCCCGCAGCTTACTTTTTTTGTGTGCTTCAACCACAGACAGTGGGCATTTTCCTTATTGTAATGGATATAACACCCCGTATAGAATGGATACTGTATACTGGAAGACGGGTCCTGGAGGGCTCGTGAGAACCTCTCTCTGACTAGTTGCTTTGAGATGGAATTTCTGAATCAGAAGTTTGACACTTTCAAATTTGGGATCAATAATACAATATGGCCCTGCACCTTGGGACTGCTGTGGATGAGTGGCCCGTTGGTTTCCCACAGCTTCCATTATACCAGCTATCAAGTTTTACCAATCTGGCGGACAAAAGAAGACTCCAACTTTCATTTGAATTTGCATTTCCCTGATGACCAATGAGCTAGGTCAGGCTTACTGGACATTGGGTGTTTCTCTTCTCTGAATTACCCACTGTCCCACCATTCCGTGTGCTCGTTTTTGTTTTTGTTTTTTTTCTTTTTTCCTTCAATTTTGGGATATTACGGATTTTAAGCCTTGGAGAGCTGCATAAATTCTGACTGTTTTTCTCCCAGCTTGCTATGTATCCTTTAACTTCGATTATGATGTTGTTTGTCCTATGGATGTTTTACATTTTTATTTTATCTTACCTACCAATCTTTTCTTCTAAGGCTTCTGAGTTCTGCTAGATATTTATTTAGTTTGGAAACTGGACCAGTGACTTTATTTACTTTTTTTTTTTTTTACTGATTGTTTTGCACTGAAGCGTGGCCATACTTAGGATAAATAAATCATAGTTTAGCTGCTCAAAGGAAAAGTTCCCAGGTCTCGGATCATACAGTGGCTGCCACATTGGCCGACAGCCGTGAGGAGGGTTACCTCTGTGGACCCCGTAAAGGCGATCTTGCTGATCTGAGGGTGAGAAGAAATTGCTGCTCCCACCGTGGGCCCAAATCCTGGCACGATGTTGACCACTCCTGGAGGGAATCCAACCTGGATGGAAATCGAGGTGGCTTTCAGAGGAGGAGAAGGGATCACACAGATGTCTACCACAGACCACACTCAGGCCGATAGAGCCAGGGCTGTAGGATGTCCCCCTCATTGGGAAGCCAGGGCCAGGGTCATTGGGAAACCAGGGCCCAGGATGCAGGCTGGGCCAGGGTGAGGCCCAGCTTCCTTCCAGGCAGCACCTCATAACCCAAAGCCTCTGAGCAAAATGGCGGTGAAGCTTCACAGCCCAGCTCCATTCTGCGCATGTGTGTGCGTGAGCATGTGTGTGCATGTGCATGAGCGTGTCTGTGTGGATCTATCTACACAAATGTATTCTCAGGGAGAAGAGAGAAACCTTGGTTACATCCTCCAAGGCTCAGAGGCCCCTGCAAAATATCCTCTCCCTGAGCTTCAGCTCCCATTTTTTAAACCCCTCCCATCAATGTTCCAAATGGCAACGCGGTATCGCTCCCTCAAAGCTCCACCTGTTGAACGTGGGCCACACCCAGAGCTGGCATATCCTGAAGGTTGGGGACAGTCACCTCTCTCACATTCACGCCTCCTGCTTTGCACCTATGAGTGCTTCTTTATTCACCAAGAACACCACAAATGAAGGCGGTGGCGGGATGCTATTTAGTCAACAATTAATAAATTTACCATCTCATGCGATTAAAACACATTATTTTAAGAAAGGCAGGATTTTAGGACACGGCGTTCGAGTCTTTAGGTTTCCTCGGTGCTGTGCGTTCATGGTTGTGATTTTAGAATCTGTCAGTCTCATTAATATGATGTAATCATGTCCTACCTCCCCAGTCAAAGGAAAGTGGGAAACGGGCCAATTCCTGGCGGCTTCAGCTTGACTTCTAAGCAGTAAGGGTCCTGTTTCCCGATCGTATTAGCCCAGCTGAGAAGTGAAATGAATGGATCTTTCCTCCCATCCCTCTTTCCTTCCTGTTTCTTTTTTAACCTCTTTTGCAACACACAAGCTGGACTCAGCAGGGCTGAAGCACATTGCCAGGTGTGTCTGGAAGGAGGTGTTTCTTTGGGCCACTGGTTTCCCAGCACGGTGGCTGTGGGGCGGGGGGGTGGGGACAGGACAATGGCCCGAGCGTGGAACACTGGTGAGGAGGCTCGGGTGAGTGAGCCCGGCTTGCTGCAGCCCCCTCAGTGGGAGCTTGCAAGATGTCCCCTCTAAGAGAACAACGGGGCCATTTCCTACGCCACAAATGCAAGGCCCAGAGAACCTCCAAATACTTGGCTCCCTCTCAAGTGACCTTCCTGCAAATTCTCCAGACAAAACATTTGCTCCTAAACCATGGGTTTGAACCCATAATAAGAGTTAAGTCTCTCATTAGGATCAGTGGGAGGAATGGAGGTTCTTCTAGCTCAGTGACCACAAGCTGGAGAAAGAGAGCGCACTTGCCAAGTGAAACCCAGGAAGCCATTCCCTTCCCACTCAGCTGTGAGCAGGCTGGCCCTGTCACGCACGGCTCAGCTCGACAGGGCACTTTATCTGGTGATGGTGGCCTGGTTCCTAGGAGTGGGGAGTTATCAATGACACGTAATATTTTCTTTCTTTCTCGGATGCCTTACCTCTTTGATCAGAGAGCCCAGATAAAGGGCAGTGAGGGGGGTCTGCTCGGCCGGCTTCATGACAATGGTGTTCCCACAGCAGAGAGCAGGCGCCAGTTTCCACACCAGCATCAGCAGAGGGAAGTTCCACTAGGGACAGAACACGGAGGAGCTTGGGGGACCCCGAGCCACCCCGCCACCCTGTCCCAGAGGCCCAGCAATGTCTCCAAGGAGGATATTTGCTTTGCATGGTCTGGATTTGGGCCGTCAGAGGTAATACAGGAGTGTGCAAAGTTCAGACCTGCATTCCTGCCCTGTGCTTAATGAACTGCATTCTGGGAGATGTTAATAAGTAGTCTTTGCAAAGAGGATTCTGCTGTAGGCGCACTACCTTCTCTTGGAGGTTTATAATGCCATCAACATGTTAAAGGACCTGAAAAATACTGCAGGAATGAGGCCCGCCTCTCCTAAACTCAGATGTCACAGGATCTTCTTCTCTTCTTACAAAATACATCCTAAGCCCCCACTGAATTGCCGTTTGGTGAAATTCATGTTGGGAAATGGCGTTTCTTGTCATCTTTCAACTACAGAGGCAAGGATTCAAAATCACTGTGACAAGAAGCCTAACAAGAGGTAACAGCCACTGAGCGTTCACTCCGTTCCAGGTGCTGTTCCAGGCACTTCACAAAAACTTAACTCATTTGATCCCTACCAACCCATATGAGATAGTCCTGTTATCACCTCCATTTACAGATGGGGCACAGAAGGGAGAGGTCACTTGCCCAAGGTCACAAACTAGCAGGTAAAGGCCGGGATTCATAGCCAGCCTCGTGTCCTCTACTACCCTGCCCCTCCGAGTATCATCTCTGATGAGGCAAAATGAAACCAAGCGTCTCCAAGAGAGCAGGTAGCTTGATTCTAGCTGTCCCTCAACCACCCCCATCCCAAAGGAGTCCCTTTGGCTCCTTATGTTCCAAGGACGCCAAACAGAAGAGCTCTCTGCAAAGCTATACCCGCGGGGCTGGCCAAAGGTGGCCACCTTGTGGTCTGGCCACTATGATTTCTCTCCCAGCTCTGCCTGGAATTCCTACCACTAGACAACAAACCTAAGATCCCAGTTCCCAAGGGCCAATATGCTCGGCTAAATTATGGCAGGCATTGTTTTGGGGTGCCCCCTAATGATTGGGATCCCCTCTTCTTCCTGGACCCCCACTCCTTAGCACACAAATACCATCATCTCTCCCTCTGACAAGCAAATCGGCACCTTGCCTTAGCTTCTGCCACTTCCCTTGAAGCTTCTTGGAAGTGCGGTGCCCATATGCCTAGGTCCCCTTCTGTAAGCCCCAGCAAAGGGGTTTCCACTTGGGGTTTTCACCCCAAGCCTCCCACACCACTGTTGGTGAGCAAATCTAACAGCTGTGTTTCTGTCTTTTTTAACTCCTATGAAGGAGAGGACCCTATTGACCATAGTCTTTTTCTGGAAATGTATTCCATTCCTGGGATGCCCCCGATCCTAGCTGCTCAGACTTCTCAGTGGGATCCCCTGATAGTGTATGGGATTTGGCCCAGGCCCTCTTCTTCTCTCACTCTGCACCCCTCTCTGGATGGCCCCCCTCTCAACTTGATGGGCAGAAACACCTCTGTCCTGACCACTGCCCGTGGGTAGCTCCAGCCCTCGCCTCTCTCGAGCCCCCCACCCAAATATGCAAATGCCTGATGGGGACGCTTTGCTTGGCTTGTCCACTGGCCCCTCTATGACATCTGCCCAGAATGACCTTCATGTTTCACGGCACTCCACCCTAACCCACTTCTCTCCCAGTCTTCCTCAAATCCCCCAGCACCACCCTCCACCCAGTTCCAGCCAGGACTCACCCCCAACCTCTGATTAGACACTAAACTCCACCAACTCGACCTCCTTAGGAGCTTTCAAATCCATGCTTCTGCTTGGTCTTCAAACAGTTCCTGTCCTAGCATTTTTCTTCGCGGGGCTTCCTTCCTCAGCCTTTTAACTGACCTGCAAGTTCCTCAGGGGCAAAACCTGGGCATGTCTTCAGTACCTGGGACCCTGGCGTCATGCCTGCCACACAGCGGGCTCTCAGCGGTTGGTGGAAGGGACACACCTTCCTTGTCTCCACGGAGTGCACTTCCAATCCTCTCCCCACGCTGCCGCCTGTCTGCCCAGCCTCCCACCCCGGTGTTGCAGTGGCCTGGGGCTTTCTCCAACAGATGGGCAGCATCAACGCATTCCCTGGCACCTGCCGGGCTCCCCACTGTCCAGTGAATAAAGTCCAGGCTGCCATGGCTCACCGGGTGCCCAGCCTGGACCACCGGACATGCACTCGTCCTCTTCCTCACTTTGTCCCCATCTAAGTGTGGCCTCACCAGCTGTCCTGCTGTTGCGCCCCTCCCCCCACCCCAGTTAGCCCAGGCACCTCGACACCCTCACTGGGGTCATTCCTACTGCTTAGAAGACCCATTTTCCTATTGAAGGATCCTTCCTCATCCTTTAAGGCCCTCTTAAAAGACCCCTGCCCTAGAGAAACTGGGCATTCCTGAGCCCTCTGGCTGGAATCCACGGTGCCTTCTGCTGTGCTCCAGGAGTTGGCCCCCTGAGAGCAGGCATGGGAGCCAAGCCATCCCGGTGACTCTCAAGCACCCAGCCCCAGGCCACAGAGCAAATGCTCTGTTAATGCCGGTGTGATCGAATCAAAACACACCAGAAACTGGTTCTAGAGGCCACAGGGGAGCGGGGCAGGATTCACACGGATCTATCTAGAAAAGTCACCATACTTACAGGAGTGATGGCCCCACACACACCTATGGGCTCATGCCTCGTGAAGCACACCACGTTGTCATCTGGAAGAGAGGTTACGTGGAGAAGAACACAGTGGGATTAATCTCGGCTGAGGGTTTTATGTCGCAAAAACACAAGAAAGAAACCCAGAAGCCCACAAAAGTGTCAGCTCCAAGTCTCATCTAGTCCACAAAGAAGAGATCTTTAGCTCAATGTTAAAACCAAAATTCCTTAGGAGAAATCAGCACAGGGCCACTTCCTTTTGCAACAAGGAAGGGGGCCCTGGGGAGGGGGGGCAGGGGTGCTGTGGAGAGGCTACCTGGAACAACGAGAAGACAGAGCCCCCGAAAGCTGCCCCCCCACCCTGATGAGGCTGCGTTGGCTCACCTGTGGGGATGGTCCTGCCCTGTATTTTGTCAGCCCACCCTGCAAAGTATCTGAGGGTCTTAATACAGCCCTCCAGGTCGATGAAAAAGGCGTGAAGGAACGGCTTCCCCGTGTCCATTGTTTCTAGGGTCTGCAGGAAAAAGACAACATCTGTGTCAGACGCAGTTTCCTTCTTCGACATCAGGGGGTTAAAGCCAGGGGGCAGGGGGTAGAGAGCCCAGTCCTAGGACACTGCATGTGCCTTGTTCCATGTGTCCCTTCAGAAAGCAAGCCACTGCGTTTCCCATCAGACCTGGCTCAGACTGTCAAGGATTACTCTGCTTTCAAAACAGCTCAGGGGCACCTGGGTGGCTCAGTCGGTTAAGCGGCTGCCTTCAGCTCAGGTCATGATCCCAGGGTACTGGGATCGAGCCCCGCAATGGGCTCCCTGCTCAGCGGAGAGCCTGCTTCTCCCTCTCCCTCTGTCTGCTGCTCTGCCTACTTGTGCTCTCT